TCTACCGATCACGCCGGTATACAATCTCGTTACCATTTAGACCTGGTAACCCAGTCCCCTTCTCATAAAACATGATTTCAACACACACACTAAAACTGTTGTTTTAGTCCCATTGCCCACAAAATTTCTCTTTCATCACCAAAACCATTCAAGCAATAATATAAAATCATCTCATAAGTTTTGCAAATTCACATGTGTAACAATTCACAATTGCAAAAATATTTAATTGCAACCCCAATCATTAATATATATCATATATATGAAAAATTCACACACACGCACCCACAAGTTTAATATAGAAAATCCTCCCAAAAGAAGTAATAAACTACTCACCTTGATTTCTAAAATTCAATTCAAAACACTCTTTTTCAACCTCAATGCAATCACCACCTAATTCAAATTAACATGTAATGATCAATCCCTATTTCTAACTTCGTCATTTCGTGATTCTATATTTAATTTACGTACTTTATATTCTTTGATATATACTTAATATATCCTTTAAATATAAACATCATTTCTAATATGAGGGAATAAGATATGGAAGTATTCTGGGCTGTTTAGAAAAAGTTTTTAAAATTTTGGGGTCAAATTATAATTTTTGAAACTTTTGGGATCAAAGTATAATTTTCTTAAAAACAAATTTTTTGTCTTCGGGGCTGCCATAAATTTTTTAGAATTCTGTTCTTACAACTTACCAAATAAAAAAATACTTAAAATTCAATTTAAAAGAATAAAGGGGTCAAAATAAAATACTTTGAAATTAAAGGGGAGCTTTCTATAATTTCTAGATTGGTCTTCTTCTACCTACGGTCATCCAGGTTGTTTGTTCTACCACAAGAATTCCAAACCCTTTTATTTTCTTTTCTTTTTTCAACCTATTGATTAGTCAACTATAAGTCTAAATTCAATCTAATAAATTTCAATAATAATAAGCGATTACCATGAAACTCATTCTGTATATGTGTATTACGCAATATCATTATCATCAACCTAATATCATGTGACTGAATAAACTATAAAATCCATAAAATAAATAATAAACTCACTTTTAAAGGACTTAATCCATATGTCTTCTTCCTCCTTCTTTCTTTTCTCTTTATTTCCCTCTTTCGCGTTATTTTTTTCTTCTTTGTTCATAGGACAACATCCTCCATAAGCCTTCTCACCCAAAAGACCCTACAACCTAAATATATTTTTATATATATAAGGGTTTGACCTATCCAATAATACTATCTTATTTAAACTACATGTATAAGAGTCCTAATAGGTCTCTAGCTAAAACTTTTTATTAGAGACATATTAATCTTTTTTTAAAAAAAAAAATTATTTTTATCCTTATATATATATATATAATTACTCCTAAGTAGCCAATGCACCAAAATAATATAATAATTTTTTTTTTATGGGTAATTACAGTTGGACTGCCAGAACTTTATATCCGATCTCTGGTTATGTTTCTTATGGTGATCTATTTCCTACATTTCAATCTTGTAGTATGACCTTATCAAATGTCAATTCCTCGCTCTATTTTAGAGGCTATGAAGGAGCCCTAATGGGTTCTTGTCATGCAGACGGAGATGGACATTTTTCAGCATAATCATCGGTGAAATTTTGTCTCTTTACCTTCAGAGGTGAAACCTGTTGGCTGTCATTGGGTTTACACCCTGAAGTTTCTTGCAGATAGTACTATTGATCGTCAGAAGGCCAGACTTGTGACGAAGGACTTTACTCAGGTAGCAGGTCGTGATTTTGGTGCTACCTTTGCCCCCGTGACAAAGTTGACTACCGTTTTGTTGATTATATCTCTGGCTATGGAATATTCTTGGCCTCTTTATTAGTTAAATGTGAAAAATGCGTTTCTTCACGGTGATCTGAACAAGACTATTCATATAGATGCAGCACCAGACTTTCGTGATAAGGAGGAGTATGTTAGAAAAGTGTGTTGACTGCGTAAGTCTCTTTATGGATTGAAACAGTCACCACGAGTCTGGTTCTCTCTGTTTAGTGGTGTAGTTGTATGTTGAGGATTCACCAAATGTCATTCTAATCATAAATACTTTATTCGATGGAATACTTCTGAGTAGTGTGTCATCCTTTTGATATATGTGGATGATATCATTATTACTGGGATGATATTTATGGGATTGCACAAGTCAATGTAGACCTTATAAAGGCCTTCGATGTGAAGGACCTTAGATTTCTGCTATATTTTCTAGGGATTGAGGTTGCCCGTGGTAGCAGAGATATTGTTCTTTCTCAGAGGAAGTATGTTTTGGATATTTTCTCGGACACTGGAATGTTAGGGTGCAAATCGGCATCATCACCTATGATTCCAAACCTGAAGCTTACTGCTGAAGGTGAGGAGTTGAGAGATCCAATTGTCTATCAGAGGTTGATAGGTAGACTTATTTACCTAGCCAATACTATGCTAGACATTTTATTCGCTGTCAGCCGAGTTAGTCAATTCATGCACAGGTTGTGTTAGCCTCACCTTGATGCAGTTTATCATATTCTTCGGTATCTCAAATCTTGTCCTAAATTTGGGTTGTTCTATGCATCAGGATCTTAAACTGGCTTTCTAGCCTGTTATTTAGATTCAGATTATGGGCGAGCATATGACGGTCGATCTACTACAGCATTTTGTGCTTTTCGAGGAGTTCATCTTATCTCTTGGAAGAGCAAGAAACAGACAGTTGTCACCCGCTCGTCAGCAGAGGCAGAATATCGGGCCCTAGCACTTGGTACGTGTGAGATTATCTGCTATGATTGATTCTTGGTAAGTTGGGATTTCTAGTGACTTCTTCATCTACATTATATTGTGATAATTGATCTGCTATTCAGCTCGCTTCTGACTCTATATTACACGAGAGGACGAAGCATATAGAGATCGATGTTCACTTTTTTTGGGAGAAAGTTAGTTATGGTATTGTCACTCAATTGTTTGTAAGGACCAGTAATCAGGTTGAAGATGTTTTCACCAAACTTATCACTCCATCTATTCTCCGGGACTCCGTTGTCAAGCTTGACTTAGTTGATATTTTTGTACTTAACTTGAGGGGGAGTGTTGGAGTTATAATCTAGTTTATTAGGGTTTCTTTTCCCTTTTTTATTCATACTATGATTTTTATATTTTGCCTATACCACAAGGATATTTAGGTCACTTTGTCCTGTTGTTTGACTATATATACAAGGCTCTACTCTTAATTTGGATATTCCTTTCACATATCTCAAGTACAATAAAGAAAAATGTTCAGATAATTCGATCTCAACATTTATGTCTAACTATTGACAGAGGCATCTAATTTTCCTATTTAACAAATATTTGCCTCAAAACAAGAATGACTTAAAATGTTGTGCACTTACCAAAAAAGCCCTCATAATGTTGTGTAACTCATCTCAATTTTTTGCTGAGCCACACATGATATCAAGTTTAATTCACATAATGATAATATCAACGCAGCACCAAGTGAATACCTATTTCACATCAAATTACGAAAAAAAAAAAAACCTCAACAAGGTCATTGCAAAAATGTCCTAAATCAAATGCTCAACCTTTCAAAACTGAAAAAGATTGAACAAGGCTAGAAGCCAAGAATGACACCGGCACAATCTTCCTTTTAACCACTATTAGAAAAATATGATATTGACTATGCACACTTTGAGCCACAAAAAAAAGAGCATGCAATTTCCTGCAAGGCAAACACTCTTTCCACCGTGAAATGCTCCATTGCATTCCTTTACCTTACTAAATTCTAATCCCAATTATGGTTCTGGGGTAGCACATATTGGGTATGGGAGTGTAGCTGAATACCCTTGACAGTCTGCTTCGGTAAAAGACCATACAACTACACAAACTCCACATACCTTTAAAGTTTCAATGTAGCATACGATGGAGGAACAAAAGCAACCACAAGTTTTTGCTTGCATCACATCCGAACTTCAAATAAAAAGTTTTACCCCTCTCAAATAATGGAACTCTAAACATTTATCTTCTCAGTCGTCCTTTCCTAAGCAGAATTTGTTTCCTTTTAATTGACCTAAGTAGGAAAATAATAGAGTTGTGAAGTTGCTTGACTAAGACATGGCACTTGTTCCTACACAAGCAAATTCGTGTTGAGCTCAGCAAGAAAGTTTTTCCTCAACTACAAGATAATCCAACTCATGCCTACTCATCCTCGGTCTAGTGGAATCATTTTACCTAATAAGACCATAAATAGACGAGGGTATTATAACGGAAAGCAATACAAAGTCATCAAGCAATCAGGTCATCCATTTTCCCTTGATCTCTTTGTTTTACAGGCTATAAGGTCCAATTATTATAGGAAGGATATCAAATGCCCAAAGACAGAAATTTAAGAACACACCTGTTTCTCAAAACAAGTTCATATTGAACATGGGCCTCATGCAATTTTTTTAAAAAAAGGTTTGGTCAGTTCATTGAGAAGTACTGTTGTCCCAAACACAGAAAAATTAAGTCAGCAAGAAAAGGGAAGGCTGGTAAATGTGGTCAGTGGAGATGAGCTAAAGGGGGGGGTCAAAATTTGGTGCCCTGTTTCGTGTTTTAGGTCTACAAGATTTTTTAAATGGTAAGTGGTATTTGAAGTTTTCATTTTTTTTGTAGTAACATGGATAACGAAGGTATAGTATTTGAAACATTCAGTGTACTAAAAAAAGCAATATAAATGATTATTCAACTATAGGAAACTATAGTACATGTGAATGATTAGCAGGGTTTGATACATGAAAAAGCAACTCAGATAAGCAGAATTTTATGCCCAAGATGTCTATGAAATGAAAATCAATGTCCTTGTGAAGCCCTTTGCTGCTAGATGAAATTACTCTCATGTATTCAATATGTGATATACGGAAATTTAACATGTGTGCTGCCTGATGTCAACGAATGAAAAGTTATCTCGTTGAAAAATTAATGTAAAGTTGGTACTGGAAGATTCAATATGAATGATTGTTCAACTATAAGAAACTATTCGTAAAGTACTTCACCTGAGTTGTTTAGACTCCTGAAGTTTGACTCTGCTTTGTTCTAAAGCACGGAGAAAATGATTCATGGTCAACTTGACATTTTTTTTGACAAGTCTCATTGGATCCAAGTCTACAAGTTCTTTATTAGCATACGAGTGTGAAAGTGTAACAAGGGATGCAAGTGTAGCACCACTATATCCAATCGTCCTGCGAGCTGTATGCAAGAACAGAAACGTTATATATATTGAACAGTGATGGGCAGTTTTCATTAGTGAACAAGGTTTTGTACAACAAAATTCGAACTTAAGACATACCAATTTCTTGTAGATCAACATCTCTATCAAGAAGAGAAGCTTGTCTCCACTTCCTTGTGCAAACATCCAAAATTTGCTTGCGCCCTTGCTCATCAGGGTAGTCTATCTTTATATGGAGTTCGATTCTACCATCCCTAGGAATAAAAAAATAAATAAAATTAAAGGAAGGATAGATAATTTTTCATCTTTTTGGGTGCATACGTTTGTTTTGTTGGGCTTGGGGGTGGAGGATTATGAGCAATTATTATGAACCAAGTCAGTGATTATTTATAAACAACGTAATTGATCAGTCACATGTTAATTATTTGTTTAGGTAGTTTTTCAAGAAAATGCATATACATTAAGTGGGGAGAGAGTGACAACTAAACTTATTTGACTTTTCATCATTAACTTTGAAGCAACTTTGTTTGTGTAGGATTATAACCAAGTACAGTTCCAAATTTCAATACAAATAATTTACTAGGGGATCCTGATCAGATTGAGAATCCTGTGATCTTACGAACTAAAAAATATATTTACAAACACAAAATTCTTAGAAACGAAAACAAAATAAACCTAGTATGTATGCAAAATGTAGAGATGTTACGAAAAACATATAGAACATAAAAGTATGGCTAAAATTTGAGCAACTATAATATGAGTATTGAAGAGCATTGAAAATAAACAAAAAAGTTGTTAAGCTTGTGAGATTCTGTAAAGATTAACATAAGGATTGGAGGGTTTCGATCATAATATGCAGAGAGAGATGAGGATAAAGGAGAGATTGGGAAAGTTGAGCAACTCTTGAATAAACAATTTTGATGGTTCGATATCGAATAAAAAACAATGAGAATAATAATGGAAGACACATCTAGTAATAATCACTCGTCGAGAGAAAAGAGAACAAAACTAATTGTTGGTTTCAATGAGGGAGACAAACAACTGAAGAGCATTTTCTGTGATGATAAAGGTTTTTCAGTAGTTTTCTCACCGACTGAAATTACCTAATGGACTGAAAAGAGTGTAGGACAATCATTAATATATGGATTGGTACATATAAGTAACTACAATTGCCAAAGAAACATATCCGACAACTTGCGTTGATAAAAAATAATAATTGGGATCAGAATCATTAAGATTCTACGAGCCAGGACCTTTAGAGACTCAGATGGCTTTGCCAGTATTGGATGGAAGAATCATAACATCTTATGATCCGAGTCATGATTTTGATAATCATGTTTTAAGTCAATATTGTCTTTTCTTATGAACTGAAAACTATCTGGTGCAAACCAGAAAGTTAAAATGAAACTTGTTGAATCAATTAAATAATGTTTGTTACTAATCTTAGATTCATGTTGGTCTAGTCATATCAAGTTGATAGTAGACGATATTCTTAATTAAGCAAAGAGAAGCAAATGATAAACACTATCTGATAATAATTTTTTTTTATTTATTTTTTTTGGGGGGAGGGGGGAAAGGGAGCTTAAACTCTTGACCTCAAGAAGACAAAACCTTCACAAGGCAAGGAGTACCATTGAATCAAAGGTCAGTTGGTCTATCTGATAATAATCACAAATAGATATATAGAAAAGAAAAACAAATACAAATATTATTCAACAATGTAAAAGAGGTGACCTCACAACTACCTGCAGCGTACATATTGCACACAATAAAAATAGATGGTTTTTTTTTTTTT